TGGAGGTGGCGTTCAGAGCAGTCTGGAGCCCCTGTCTCCTTCCTGCCAGGGCAATCCCTCAGCACAGCCAACCGTCCCTTCTCTGTGTGCAATGTGCGTGCCTCGGGGACCTCCTTTCGCTGCTCTCCCGCAGTTCCGCCTTACAGCCCAGCTCCCTGTGGATGAGCCTGGGTCCCCGGGGTCTGGCCTAGAACTGGGGTTCATAGCAGTCGGAACTGGGGCCCAGCACAGTCGGAGCTTTTATCTCCTTCCTGCTAGGGAACACCAGCCAGGCACTCAGTCACCCCGCCCTTCCTCTCCGGCTCAGTCCTCTCCGCGCACCGCGTGTCTCTGTACCTTAGGCTTTTACAGCTCCTCTGCGCTTCCTTCTGGTTTTCTCCTTGCTTCTCATTGTAGAATTTTCAGTCAGTCGACTTTCCTGTAGTTCTGTGTAATGTCCATTTTATATTTTAGTTGTATTTTATTGAAATTATTGTGTGCGGCTGCAGCTAGGTCTTTACCTCGGCAGCCATCTTGGATTCTCCTCAGAAATGTGTTTTTAACTGAATCTGCACCATTGACAAAAACTACTGGACTCTCAAGACTCTATCTCAAAACAATTTGTCATCTGGAAAAAATGGGAACTCTATACCAATTTGTAATAGCTAGTTCAGAGCTGAAATGATAGGGAAGAAAAGGCTGCTGAGAGGAAGAAGGCATAATATGATAATCAAAAGCTTTTTTGCTATGCCATCATAAATAAAGGACAGTCTTTGGCAGAGTCATTATTTATTTGAAGCCCTGTGCTTAGTTCTGTGAATATAGGAGTCAATCAGATGTAGCTCTTGTACACAAAGAGCTCATGTTCTATGGGAGATAAAGAAAAAAGGCAAATTCAGATGAGTGTGATCTGTTATAATAGAAATATGGACAAGATGGGAAGGGATGCCAGAGAACAGCTTGACAGGCCAATTAGAGGGGCAAAGACACACCCAGGAGAGATCCCAATATGATAATTCATTATACATAAAGAAAATAATGAGTTGTCCCATGGGACTCAGAAATGTGGAGATATGGTGAGAAGTGAAGCAATAAAGATAGGCTGTTTAAATTGTAAATGACTTTGAATGCTAATGCAAAAGGTTGGAATTTTTTACATTTTTATTTTAAAGAGAGAACTCTGGCAGTAATATTGGAGGATGACTGGAAGGGAAGGCATGATGGCAGGAAGACATAGCAAACATCTATGTCAGAGCTGCTAAGAGCTGAGATGGAGGGCTATGGTAGTGCTGGTGGAAAAGAAGGGCAGATTTAGGAAACCTTGCAAAGAAGTTTCATGGGCATGATTTGGTTACTGGATGGCAACAAATGAGAGATGAAGGAATCCAGGTGATTCTCATGATTATTGCTTGAGTGACTGGGTGGATGGTAGTGCATTAGCCAAGAAAGAGAATCTTGAAGAAAAGGTTTTCCAGAAGAATGATAAAGAATTATGATATTTAGTGTTGAGTATAAAATATCTGTTAGATCTTGTGGTTGAAGTGTCTGATAGCACTTCCCAGGTCCTTTCTAGACCTGTCATTCCACCTACAATTTCCATTCCTTCCTGAGTACCTGTGTAGCTATCCCATGCCAGCCCTTGCTCTGATCTTCTGGATTGACCCAGGCTATGAAAATGGCCAATAAGGCTGTGTCTCAGAACATTTAACCGATCTGCATTTGTAAGCAGGCGCCTGACTTTGTGTTTTGCATTACTGCACCAGGAACCTGTGCTTACAAGTGCCTTTTGACCACAAAAAAAAGCTTTCACACTCCTCCACAGATCTGAAAATCTTTCCCCCATCCCAAAGAACATCTTGCAATTGCCCTTCGCACTGACCATATCCCTGCCTTTTCTTCCTTTCAGTCTGACTCTGGCATGGTGGTGGGAAGGGGGTGCAGTGGAGTATAACATAGAGTCAGAGTGCAGAAGACCTTGGGACCTTCTAGTTTAACCTCATTTTTCATACAAGGAAACTGAGGCCCAGAGGAGGGAAACAACTAACTGAATGTCACAGAAGTTAATGTCAAATCTGGGACAAGATCTTAGAATTTTCAAGATACAGCCCACTGTTTTTGTCTTGGTGGAATTCACTATAGACCATGGTTGAAATATTTCCTGTCTCAAATTATAATCAATTCCATATACCCCCCAACCAAATAAATCTTTCTACTATTCCAACTTGCCATATACGTAAAATAACTGTCAAATGATAGATAAGTTATGCCCTGCAAATGTTCTTCATACAATAGCAAATGCTAATTGACCAGATCTGTCAAGAATTAGTTACAAGAATTATTTAATAATTTTCAAAAGAAAGGAAATCAATTGAATTATTATTCTGATGATTTTTGTCTCAGCATTTCAGTCTACTGCCCTCCTGCATCTTGAAAGTGATGCCTAATGACAACTTAAATAAATGTATTTATTTTCTCCCTTTTAAACTGCTAAGTACTTTTTAAACTTGTCTCCATGTCCCCTCAGAGACTGAGGGAAGGGTTGGGGGTAGCTTATAGATAGAGTCTGGTACTAAAGCCAAGCCGGCAGCCAGGCTGGAGACAGTTGGGTTGGGGACCCAAACCTCTTGTTACAAGCCAACTATTACCCACCCCTCACCCCCTATATTGCTTCATCAGGAGCTTAAAGAGAAGTCCTGAATGGTTCCAGACAACAAAAGGAATTTTGTGCACTGGGAGCAAGAAGCCTCAGGGGAAATTTGGTGCAATGAAGGTGGGAAGGAAGTCAGCAGCCTCCTCACTTCTGAGGTTGCTAGGAAGGGGAGCTAATGGGTTAAGCAAAAGTGTGAGGTTTGGAAGTCAAGAAGTCATTGAGCCCTGACCACTGTTGCCAAGCAGTTAGCGTGTAGACTCACACACCGAAGGGTCATGGGTTTAATGTCTGGTCAAGGGCACATACCCGAGTTACAGATTTGATCCCCAGCCTGGGTCCAGTGTATGCAGGAGGCAACCAATGGATATGTCTCTCTCACATATCTCTCTCTCTCTGTCTCTCTCTCTCTGTCTCTCTCTCTCTCTCTCTCTCTCTCTCTCTCCCTCTCTCCCCCTCTCTCTCTCCTCCCTCACTCCCTTCCATAGCCACATCCACAAAGCTCATAATTTGTGCCAGACTGTCCTCGGATCAGCCTGAACCAAAGTGTTCACTTTTGACCTTAAATAGACATTTTCAAACTTTAACCTAAAGAATTAGCACAGCCAGTCCCAGCTCAGCTCTGTAAGTAGCAACCTCTTCTGCTTGGCCCCACATTAAACCACACTCCTCTGTCCTCTGGAAGCCATAGACCACTCAATCACCTGGTGCCCATCTTCTAGGATTCAGCACTGGCAACTTAGCCTGGCAGAGATACTCTAAGGAGGCAACTTGGCAGCTGCAAATGCATTTATCTGGAGGAGGGGGTCACTATTTCAGGGCCTGAGGGGTTCCCTTTTAGCCTTTGCAGCTGGTGTCTCTCAAATGGAGAAGTTCATCCTTCCCCAAGTATGGGCAAGCCACAGATCTTGTGCCTCCACAAGTCTCTGTTGCAAAGCAGGAACTGTACTCAGCAAGAAGCCCTGGTATGAAGAGGGAGGAGGCGAGGGTGGGGGTGGGGATGGGGGTGGGGGGGTGGGGTGGAGAAGCAGATGTATGCTGTGTGCTGATCAAAGCAGTGTTCCTGTTTCTCATCTGTTGTCATGGCAATGCAAATAAATACCTCTTCCTGCTGGCTCTTCTTCCTTTTTAGCAGCCATCACCCAAGAATGCAAGGTCTTAAGGTGGAAAAGTCCTTGGGAGGTTACCAGATGCTCTCTCTGCCTCCTAGTAAGACTGTACCCAAACCAACTGCAACTATAATACTTGGGGAAGACTTCAGGGCCTCATATAGGCCCTTAGCATGACAGTTGTTAATTGGTGTTTTTCTGTTCCACACAAGTCCCCAATCCTTATTGCCACCCAGAAGCCAGGCTCACTCAAGTCACAAGCTCATCCTGATTAATTGGGGACAATGGGAATGGCTGAGGTAGGGATGGAGCAAGGAGGATGACCCAGATGACTTCAGCAAAGCCAGGATGATGCCAGAAGTTCAGGCTCTGGCAATAAATGCATTCCTGGCCAGTATCATTCTTTCTCTTCTTCCCCAAATCATCTTCCCCTAGATTACTGTGTCCTCCTCAACAAAAAGAGAGTTGTTCTCGGAATGACAGCCACTTGTCCACACCCAAGTAGGATAACAGAGGCAGAAGGCAGATAGGCAGTCAGGCAGTTAGGCAGTCAGGCTAAAAGAAACTTGTTAGAAAAATGAGGGGATTTTTTATCTCTTAAGACTACATATATGCCCCAAGTCCTAACTAAACTTCTCGGTAGTCTTCCAGATAAATCAAATGGTTGAAACACCAAAGATACTGACTTAAATGTCAAGTCTCTTTCCTTCTCCCTCCACTTACCTGTTTCCTTTCCTAGCATACCTCCCAACTCTAATATACGTCCTAGTGGACAAAAGGACTCTGAGAACAAGGGAAGCATATGGGTGGCTGCCACTTGCTGGTAGCTCTTCAGAGAAATCCTTCCTTGGCTCCCTAACCAGAGAACAGTATGGTAATTTCCAGAGGGAAAGGGGGATGAGAGGAAGTATAAGAAGGTAAAGGGAATATAAATGATGATGAAAGGAGACTTGACTTGATGTGAACACACACTACAATATGCAGATGATATATTATTAAATTGTACACGTAAAACTTATAATTTTATTAATCGTTGTCACCCCAAGAAATGAAGAAGCTCTGCATGCTCACTCACCTCCAAAAGGCCAGGCCTGAGTAGTCCAGGAAATGCCCACTGGAGGGAGACAGAGAGGATGTCTCCAGATTTTATACCTAGGCCATTGGCTGTACTGCCCAGGAACCTAACTAATCAGCCAGCTCATTAGGAGCGCTGAGAAGCTAAGTCCCATTGCATGCCACTTGTGAGCCCCATCTCACACACTTACCAGCATTCTTCCTCCCCTGCTGCTTCGGGAAGCACTGTAAAGGAAACAGAGAAGAAATCAAAGCATTGCAGATACCCATACAAGCCAGAACTGGAAGGGATCTTTGCAGGCAGCAAGTTCAATCTTCCCATTTTACAGAAAGCTATACTAAGGCCCACAGAAAAGAAAATGAAGTATGAGTGCAGCAAAATGGAACATAGAAACCCAGACTTTTGGCTGCCCACACCATAATATTTTCTCCTACTCCACTGGCTGACTCCTCTGGTTCACTCTCATCACATTGGAAGCAGCCCCAAGTCAGGGGATTAGAGACAATCTTCACAGTTCATAGTACTGCTCCAAAGTCTGAAAATAAGGATTATCAAAGGAGCAGTTAGCATTGACTTGACACATACCATCCTTGGTATAGCAAGGGGTATTGGTAGAAAGAGAAGTATTTAGAATTGGCAAGCTCAAGTTCAGGGCCACTTTCCTCTACTTACTGATTATGTGCCATTGGATACACAATCCCTCTTGAGTTTCAGTTTCTGAATCCACAATACTAGGATAGTAATAATATCGACCTCACAGGTTTTGTGAGAAATTAATGTACCTGAAAGCACTTTTTAAAATGATAAAGCATATTATAAATTCATTCATTCAATAAATGTTATAGAATGCCAATGGCCTTCAAATATCTGTGCTAGATGTTAAGGCTATAGCAGTGATCTAGGCAGGTAAGGTCCTTGTCCTCATGGAGGAGGGACAAACAATAAACAGGTAAGCCAATAAATAAATAAGAAATTTCTGACATCACTAAGAACCAAGAAGGATAAACTTTAAAAAACAGGATGAAGCCCTGGCCAGCATGGTTTAGTGGTTGAGTGTCAACCTATAAACCAGGAGGTCATAGTTCAATTCCCGGTCATGGCACATGCCTGGATTGCATTGCAGGCTCTATCCCCAGTGTGGGGCATACAGGAGGCAGCTGATCAATGATTCTCATCATTGATATCTCCATCTCTCTATCCTTCTCTTTTCCTCTATGAAATCAATAAAATCAATATATATGTATATATATCCCAGTGCATGGATTCATGCACATTGAAAGGAAGTTAATTAGAAGATGGCCAGCAGGGGGGGACTGGGCAAGGCAGGCCCAACATGCCGTGGAGCCAACCTCTTTCAGTCTCTTCCCAGCCTTCTACACCTGGGGCAGTGCTGCAGCTCAAAGGGCATCTGTGGAGTGGTGAGCAGGGTCCCTCTGGCAGGTGGGGATCCCTTGGCCTGGCCTGTGGGGATCTGGCTGAAATTAGCTCTCTGACATCCCCAGAAAGGTCCGGGGTTGCAAGAGGGTGGTTCTCAGTGACACACCCTGGAATCAGACTCTCTCCCCTCTAGTTCCATGGTGCATCACTGGAGAACTGCCACTGCCAAGTCACTACAGCTCAGCAACTCCTACGTTGAGTGTCTGTCCCCTGGTGGTCAGTGCATGTCATAGCTACCGGTCGGAGCATCTGCAGATACCCATGCAAACCAGAACTGGAAGGTCATTGCATGTCCGATGGTCAGACAATCACTTAGATAGATAGATATAGATATAGATAGATTAGATATAGATATAGATATAGATATAGAGATAGAGATAGAGATAGAGATAGAGATAGAGATAGAGATAGAGATAGAGATAGAGATAGAGATAGAGATAGATATATATAGAGATATATAGATAGATATAGATAGATATAGATATAGATATAAATATAGATATAGATGATATAGATATAAATAGATATAGATATAGATGATATAGATATAGATATAGATATAGATATATAGATATAGATATAGATATAGATATAGATATAGATATAGATATAGACATAGATATACAGGATAAGTTAGAGAGTGATAGGGCAGTCGGAACAAAAGGAATGCTTTACTTTAGAAATGGTGGTCAAAGAGGGTTTCTCAGAAGAGCTAAACTTTGAGCAGAGGCCTGAATGATAAGAAGGAGCCAGCAATCTGACAATCTGGGTACGGAAGATTTCAGGCAGCAGTTGAAGAGAAAAGTGGGAATCAAATTATGCAGGGCTTTGAGGCCAGGGTGAGGATTTTGGCTTTGATTAAAATAACAGTAGATAGCCATTGAAGGGTGTAGAGCTGGGGAACAAGATGTGATTTCTGCGTTAAAAAGATCATTTTGGCTCTGTGTGGGGAATGGATTGTAGAATGAGAATGAAAGCAGGGGCATCTCTTAGGAGGCTTTTGCAATAGTTAGATGAGCAAATTCAGTGGCTTTGTCTAAAAAAAGTAGTAGTAGAAATGTTAATTCAATAGTTAAGAAGGAAAGGAAAAAGGGTTTTCCTTATAGATAGAAGGATCTTCTTGCCTCTTCTGCTTTTGTGCAGCTAGCCTCTAAACCAAACAAAGGTTATCAGAAAAGAGTTTGCCACAGTATTTTTCATCTCTCTTATCCTCTGAACAATGATTACCATACCAGGTGCAGACAACAATGATCTCTAATCCTTGGAGATTTAGAGCACCCTAAAATGACTAAAGGTCAGACCCATCCTGGTAGACCAATAGACAACCTGGTGAATCTTCAACCCATAATTGGCCACAGGAGAGAGCAGAGATAGGAGGCAACCCCCACCCCATGTTCATTGACAAGGCCCTTGAGGGATGTTAGTGTGAAGGAAATAAAAAATTCTGGAATAAGGTGTCAAAAGAGGAGTAAGACCAATCAAAAGAGGCAAATATAAAATTCCCCTACAAAGTTACAAATTGCACCTATTTATGATTCAGCAAGTCAATATAATTCTCACTAGTGGACAAAGGCTAGTAAAAAGAAAAGATGAAGGAAGAGAGTCCTAAATGTGACAATTCTAGGAAATTAGGGGAAGAATTGACGGGAGGGACAGACTGTTCTGAGGTCCTGTTCATATTAAATTCCCTTCTCTTCAACTCTGCCTCAACCTATCATAAATATAACAGAATTAAAAGATAGCTCAGAAGCGAACTTGGCTTTAAATTTACAGGATACAAATAAGTAACCTTGTTCAACTGTTACAGTAAATCTGCATGGTAGGCTTTATTATCATCATGTGACACATGAGAAAAAAAACGAGGCCCCGAGGAAGTGAAATTACTTACCCAAGATCACACAGTTAGTAAATGTCAGAATCGAGCTTACACTAATTTAGGCCTATGAGGCTGCCAATTTTATGTTATCCTATTTTTTTCTCTTTGCAGTCAGAATAACCAAGACTAGGCCAGAACTATGAGTCCTACTCTACTTTGGACCCTGATCCTGGCACTATTTTGGTACTATTCACAGACTTACAGGAAAAAAATGAGGCATGCACTTTTGTATCAGAAAGTTTTGTTACCAAGTAAAATCTTTTTTGTTGTTGTTGTTGTTTTTGTTTTATGCTTATGCACTTTTGTATCAGAAAGTTCTGCTACCAAGTAAAATCTTTTTTTTCTTTCTTTTTTTTTGTTTTTTTGTTTGTTTGTTTGTTTTATGCTTGTAGACAGCCATTCTGGAAGAAGACCAGGATTAGTGGTGACAGTCTTCCCATTAATTCACTCATTATGTGACTCCTCATGGCCAAGCCCTGTGCTGGGTACTCAGAGATTCAACTATACCTGGTATGTTCCCTGCCTTTGAGGAATTCATGGCCTAGTTTGGGGGAGGGTTGTAGGACATGTGCACAAATCATCACAATTGCATGTGAGTGCTGTTGAAAAGTATAAAGCCTTATGGAACTGAGCAAAGGTAGTAATTAGTTGCTGAGAGTGCAAGTGCATTGTCATGAGGACATCTGGGAAGAAAGCAGCATTTAGAACAGGTCGCAAAGGATGAATAGTAGTTCATGAGGCAGACAAAGAGGCAAAGAATATGGCAGGCAGAAGGAAGAGCATAGCAAAGGGCAAGGAGATGTGGAAGCATGTGGTTTGAGGAACTATGTATAGTCAGTCTGGCTGAAGAGCAGAGTGACAAAGAGTGAGAAGTAAGTCTGGAGCAGCACATGGGGGTCAGATCATGAAGAACCTTCTAAGTCACATGAAGACACTTGAATTTTATGGTGAGCCCATTGGGGAGCCATTGAAGAAGTCTAAACAGGGGATTGGCATAGTCAGATTTATAGAATGTCACTCTATATGTGGGGTAAAGAATAGATTGGGAATGGGAGTGGGGGAAGTTAGACAAAACTAGAGACAGGGACACCAGTGCAGATCAGGCTAGTGGTCTGTGGGATAGAAATGAGGGAACCAAGATATGAACTATTTATACATTAGACCCAAAGCCAATGATAGGATGTGGGAGGATAGAGAGGAGTAAAAGATGAATTCATGCTTCCTAACCTGGGCAACTAGGATGGATAATGGAGCTATTAACTGAGGTAAGGAATAGATGAAAAGGTGTGGTTGGAGGCAGGGGGGTTTTCATTTTGTAATGAATCTCATGTGGACCTGTTGGATTTGAGGAGTCTGTGGAGCACGTGCTCCAAATTTCCCAATAGGTGCTATGGTCAACCTGCAAATGCAAAGTTGCACAGAAGCAGATATGGTCCCTACGCTTGAGGAGCTTGCAGTCTAGTGGCAGGTAGAGTGGCAAGACAAATCAGGAGTTTTTGAGAAATAAAGGTAAGCATGTTGAATGAGTGGGAAAGAGAGAGGGAGAAAAGGGGGATGGGACAGAAGCTGGTTGCTGCAGAAGAAGCTGGGAGGTCTGAGAGGGCTGGCTTGCAGACAAGCTGCAAATGCTACTGACAGGCTTTGTCCAGACTATGGAGTTCTCAGCTATCCTCTTTGCTAAACCTGTGGGCTTTATGACCAGCCTTCATCTTGTTGAGGGCAAGCCTAAAGACATTTTTTCCTTTCTTTGTCTGGTTTCTCTGTTTCCCCACAGTTCCTGGCCAGCTCTATACCACAGGCCCAAGCCTGAGGCCAGTCATGAGAACACGTTCTTCACATTCCAGCCTCCCCCAGCCCTCTCAGCTGAGCCACACAGAGCCCTATTCACAGCACCCTCCCTTCCTTCAGAGT